TATCCATGGAAGCAAAGAAGGGAATGTATGAGAGTATGGTGGTACCAATACTCTTATATGGGTGTGAATTATTATTATTATAATCAAAAAGAAGCGCTAAGCCACAAGGACTATACAGATATGGGTGTGAAGCATGGGTTGTAAATGTAGCAGCAAGAAGAAGGCTGGAGATGTCGTGTAAATATTATGCAGAGAATTCATAGTGTGGAAATTAGGTGATATGGAGTTACTGAAAGTATTATTCAGAAGGCAGAGGAGGGGATGTTGAGGTGATTTGGTCATTTAGAGAGGATGGAGTAAAATTGGATGACTTGGAGAGTGTATAAATCTGTAGTGAAGGGAAGGAGGGGTAGGGGTCATCCTAGAAGATGGAGGGATGGGGTAAAAGAGGTTTTGTGTACAAGGGGCATTGACATACAGCAGACATGTGTGAGCATGTTAGATAGAAGTGAGTGGAGATGAATGGTTTTTGGGACTTAATGAGCTGTTGGGGTGTGAACAGGGTAATATTTTGTGAAGGGATTCAGGGAAACTAGTTAGCCGAACTAGAGTCCTGGAGGTGGGAAGAACAATTCCTGCACTTTAAAGGTGTTTGGGATATTTGCTGTTTAGAGCAACATCTAAACTGTCATATCTGCATGCCTCTGCAAAGACAGTGATAATGTGAATGATGGTGATTTTTTTTTTCACCCTGCCTTGGTGGGAGACAGCTAGTGCATTAAAAACAGTATACATGTATATAGTGTGTAATGTTGCCAGCTCCCTCAGCCACCAAACCTATTTTCTCACCAACATTCAACCTTTCAACAAACCATTTTCTCCCCATTTTCAACTTGCCAATCTCATTTCATTCCCTATGTTCAACTTCTCACCAAATCTATTCCCACACCTACCTTCAAACATTCTGGGAGTCCAGTCCACATGACTGTATGTGGTATGTGTTGACCCATCTGCTGTCATCTTGAAAAGAACATTTTATTCATTGATGTGATTTTTTTTTTTTTTAAAGATAAATGTTTTTATTTATTTGTAGTTAAATTATACATTTTGGTTAACATAACCAAAACTAATGAAGGAGCAGCATATGTGGTTGTAGTAGTAGAAGCAATGGACAAGGAATGTGTAGCGAAGTTGAATGTTCAAATACATGTACGTATATGTATAGGAAATTATCTGCATTAAAAAAATATGGAAAAAAAAAACGATGTTATTTTGAGGACAAGTGAGAGGGGTAGAATAGCGCCTTTTTACAGAAGTTACAATTTTACAACCTCCCTTGTTAATAATTCTCAGCATACAAGTAATGTAGATTTTACGAACCCATGATATGCACAAAATCACCACCCTTTACTGCACACTACTATGTCAAGATAAAGACAAGTTAATTCAGTGAATGGAAAGGTGGCTTTAATTCCTTGGATGAAGAGCCCTTCACCATGGCTCGGTTCCAGCGCACTTGCCTCGCTGAGTATCTGGGTTCAATTGCCGGCAAGGGTGGAAACATTGAGCATGTTTCTTTACACCTGTTTCTCCCTGTTCATCTAGCAGTAAGTAGGTACCTGGGTGTTATTCGACTGTTGTGGGTTGCATAATGGGGACAGAATTGAAGGACACCAAGGTTGTGTAACTAGTTACAAAATTGAGTTGCACAACCCATACCGATTTAACACTTTTTTTTTTTTTTTTACATGTGTATATAATTCTGAGGGTAGCATTCACTAAAACGAACATTGGCAACAGACGGATGTCCGAGTTTGTATAAACGGTTTTAGAAAACCGGCAAGTTGATAAATGAAACACATGCAACATTTGGGTATCTTTATTTAGGAAACATTTCACCAATCAGTGGCTTCTTCACTCCAATACAGAGAAGAACAGTGAAAGAAGAGGATTATTGTAATCAAATTTAGTGCTAAACTGACAAGGATCATGCAGTGCTGCAGGGCAGAAAATAGTGCTGGGGATATAAACAGCTAGGTGGAGAGGGGATCAGAGGCAAGAGGAGAAAAGGGCTGGAAGGGATGTTACAGGCTATGTGTCAAAGTTTGCATAGTAAAGCAGTTGCTGACAAAAAGTCAAAAAGTGATCGTAGGAACACGAGTTTGAGGCAGTCAGCCCCTAAGCCTGGAACCAGTGTAAAAATCCTATCATAGGGTTATTATCCTTGATGTGAGCAGTGCAATGAAACATTAACAGATTTATTTACCTTCATGTCAAGATTACCTAAAAGCTCCCACATTTGCCATTCACCAAAGCTTCACTGTTAATAATGACTCCTCGTTAATGGCAAAATATTAATGCTAGCTAGTCTCATTACTACCACTGAAAAATTAGACACGTGCAACACCTGGGTATCTTTATTGTATAAGTGTCCAGGGCCCAGACTGTTCAACTGCCTCCCAGTATACATAAGGGGGATTACCAATAGACCCCTGGCTTTCTTCAAGAAGACACTGGACAGGTACCTAGTCAGTACCTGACCAACTGGGCTGTGGTTCGTACATCAGTTTGCATGCTGCTAGCAGTAACAGCCTGGTTTATCAGATGCTGATCCACCACGAGGCCTGGCCTCAGACCAAGCCGTGAGGGTGTGGACCCCTGAAACTTTCTCTAGGTATACTTCAGGTATCCAGTGGCTTTATCAATACAAATTCAGGGACAAAATTGGAAGACATTAGAACTGTATACAAATGATGATGTAATCAGACCTGAGGGACTGATTACCTCATATTTTGTACATAGTTCTTCTGTCTTCCATTTATGTCCTTGATTTTGTATTGCTAAAGCCACTGGATGGCAAAACATCAACAATAAAGATACCCAGATGTTGTGATAAATGATTTTGAAAACCGAGAAGTTGAAGATTGAGACACTTGCAACATATGGGAATCTTTATTAAGGAAATGTTTTGCCACACAGTGGCTTCATCAGTCCAATACAAAGTGGAAATGTGTAAGGAGAGGAGGAGCTTGAGGTAATCAGTCCCTTACCATGGAATCGAGGTGTTCAGTCCATCACTCTTGTAGAAAGTACAGCATATGGCCGGAGAAGTGGCTTATATACTGTAGTCAAGCGAATCGAAGCAGGAGGCAGATCACAGTGGAACCATCCACTAGTGTAAGTAGGTCTTCGATTCCAGGCTGAGGGACTGATTACCTCAAACTACTACTCTCCTTACTCATTTCTACTTTGTATTGGACTGATGAAGCCACTATGGCAAAACCTTTTCCTTAATAAAGATTCCCATGTTGCATAAGTGTCTCAATCTTCAACTTGTTGGTTTTCAAAACCATTTATCACATCTGTCAGAGACTGCAACATCATGGGAACTTAATACAAGGAATTCTTCAATACTTTACCAACCTTTGAACGAAGACCTACTTACACTAGTGGATGGTACCACTATGACCCAACCTCCTGCTTCGCCTCACCTGACTACAGTATAAAAGCCATGTCTACAGCCCTATGCTGGACATTCTACAAGGTTGATGGACTGAACACAGACGCCAGGCTGAGGGGACTGATTACCTCAAGCTCCTCTCCTTGCACCTTTCTACTTTGTATTGGACTGATGAAGTCACTATGTGGCAAAACGTTTCCTCAATAAAGATTCCCATATGTTGCATAAGTATCTCAATGTTCAACTGTTTGTATATAGTTCTTGTTTTCTAATTATGTCCAAGAATCTGTATTGATAAAGCCACTGGATGGCGAAACGTCTACAATAAAGATAACCAGATGTTGCACAAGTGTCTTAACTTTCATCATGTTTGTATTGGACTGATGAAGTCACTGTGTGGCGAAACGTTTCCTAAATAAAGATTCACGTATGTTGCACGTGTCTCAATCTTCAACTTGTCGGTTTTCAAAACCATTCATCACAACTGTTTGTAACGGCTTGACAAAGCTCCTGGAGAACGAAACGTTGCCACAATAAAAAAGTCATTAGTTGCACTTGTGTCCTTTTACTTTACACTACGGAGAAACTATATAAGATAAATGTAATTAAAAAAATGGGGCGCTAACAGAAAACGGGCAGCCACTGTGCACAACTTTAACAAATTCTCTAAATTTAATTGTGTAAGGCGCCTCCCACAGTTACCCATTTGACCGCTTTTACAAGTCCCATGTCGTCTGTGGTTAAGAGGACAAGTTGGGTAATTGACCTCAATCTGCATCACACCACTCACGAGTTAATACCTCTATCTCTTGCAATGGGCCACCCTTACGGGAAACGCTTAGTTCATCAAGAACGTACTTTTCACACGGTCACTCATGCAGTTATTGGCCACACCCGTTCCTGGAGCCTCGGTAACTTTACGTTGCGCACATGCAATGTTACCACTACGTTTCTTAAAGAAAATGCTATGCTATCCGTAGGCAAATTATTATAATCATGGGGGAGCGCTGGACCCACAGGATTATACAGCGCCTGTGGGGGGAGGGGGGATGAAGGCATTCATGCTCAATTCAGGGAACCGAGCACAGATCCAGTTCCCTAAATCAAGAGCCCCTCACCAGCGTCAAGGAACCTCCCCTTAGGGGAGGTAAATTAAAGACGTTTCCGTTTAGTCAGGTAAACGTAAGGTTCTTTTTGCTTTTGACTATATAAACTGAGCTATACCCTTGTTTATATATCATGCGCTAATCTCTGCAGAGTATTTCAACCATTTTATTGTCTTATTTATGGATGAACATTATTGATGTTAGTGTACAAGTGAACTGCAACTAATCCTCATTCAGTTGATAAACTTTAAATGCAATAAGAGAATTAACTTGTTCGAGCCGCGAGCGGCACAGTTCCATAAAAGTTAGCATGACTAGTATGTACCTACCACCGACGGTACAGTGAGTGCCTGTTAAGTTGAAGATGACATTTTACGTACTTGCCACGAGTGGTACAAGGGCCGTGATAGTGAAGATAAATCAGCATACGTACCTGCCACGCGGTATAGCAGGTAGCCATGACCGTGAAGATGTTTTACGTACCAAGAGCGATGCAGCGAGTGGCCGTGACAGTGAAGACGACACGTACCTGCCGCTAGCGGTACAGTCAATGGCCATAACAGTGAAGATGACACAGCAGTACACATCTACAGCGGCAGGAGTGAAGTGTAGCAACCATGACAGTATTAACCGTGATGGCTACCAGGATACACAAAGTGCGTGCTCTCTTATGCTTTGTTATAGCGCTTTCTGCCTCTTCTGCAGTCCTCTGCGTGTTGAATGCTATGGACATTAGTGCAGGTAATTATAATAATCACTGGGAAGCGCAAAACCCGTAGGATTATACAGCGCATGTGGGAGGATGGAAGGTATTCAGGTTCAATTCAGGGAACCTGAGCACAGATCAAATTCCCTAGATCAAGGAACCTCCCTTGAGGGAAGTGCAGGCAAATGTGCATATAATTTTGTCAAAGAATAGGGAGATTCTTTTGGTACTGCAATAAGCTAGTAAAATATGTTTACGATTACGAAATTATCCTAGCACCTAAGTTACCCATACGGCTTTAGTACTTTTCTAAAAAAAAAAAAATATACCGAGGATATCCTTTGCCTTTAGCACTTAGTGTTGCATGACCCATACGGGCAATTTTTTTTTTTTTATTGTGGATAAACTACACTTGTAGGGGTCATACAGTGCCTAGGAAATTCGAGCCAATCAAGTTCGATGAAACTGAAGAACAATTCAGTACCTTAGATCAAGAGCTTCTCACCGGCATCTAGAGATTTTTTATACGATAATAAATGTAACCAAGAGCAGCAGCGCTGTAGGACTCCGGTGGTTTAGCGCTTAGTTTTGATAAGCGTTAAACCCGTTAGGGTCATACAGCACTAAAAAGTGTAATATGCCCGATCAGAGACCAGCGAGGGTGAAGAGTATAACAGGTAGAGATAAGAAGGGCGACGAGTACTTAAAGGAAATGTAATCAAAATTGGTGTAATAAAGCTGTTGCTGACAAAAAAGAGGGTGTGTGTCGAAGGAGCCGTCAGCAAGGCGGCGTTAATACGGAAATAATGATAGCCGTAGTGAGGGAGGGAGACTTGTCATTGTTTCTCATTTTCTTGCACCACGACCCACACGAGCTTAGCGTTATTAGCAACATTTGAGTTTTAACCATTAAAATTATTTTATTACATTCATGGGAAGCGCTAATCCCATAAAAGTCATCCAGTAATATAAAGTGAAACGCTAAACCCAGAAGGATGAAGGGGTCGTATATTATAATCAAAAAGAAGCGCTAAGCCACAAGGGCTATACAGCGTGTGGGGGTCGTATAGCACCTGGGAGAAATGGGATGTAGTTTTAGTATATCGAAGAGGCCAGCAACTCCTTAAACTTAAAGCAAGACCCCTGCCTTGAGGGGCCATGTGATGTACTGCCTGGGAATAGAAGATAATCAGGGATTTCAAAGGGATCTTTCTTTCACAAATTCGATCGCCTCCCCACCCCTCCGATTCCCCAGTACTGTGCCTATTTTACTTTTTTTTTTTTTTTTTTTTTTTTTTTTTAATTATGGCAGCTTTGTGGCCATATTATCAAAAAGAAGCACTAAGCCACAAGGGCTATACAGCACTGCAGGGTAGGGAAGGAAGCGAGGGTATTGGGTGGCAGAATGGGAGAGGGATGATCAGTAGGTTACAGAAAACAGCGGGGCAGGGGATAGTGCGGGAGAAGGGTAGCAAGAGATTGAGGTAGAAAGGGCTGAAGGTATCAGAGTTCGTGAAGCCAGTCAGTTGTCAAAAAAGTCAATGAGAGAGTCCGGATGAAAGGTGGGTCCATTAGCAAGAAAGGAAGGTAAAGAGAGCAGCGGAGTGAAGACTGAGGCAAATTCTGCGTGCTCGTTGATAAAGTGGGCAGTAACAATGTGGCTGACCGATAATGGAACCTGATATTTCTCACAGAGGAGCAGGGTGCCTCTCCATGAGATATCCATGAGTAAGACGAGTATGGTCTTGAGTATGGCCAATGCGAAGACGGAAGACAGTAGTCTCCCAACCTCGACACTGGCGACAAGAAGACGGCCAGTAACCTATACTCGGTTTAATAGATTGAAGTTTGTTACCGAGCAGAGTAGACCAACGTTGTTGCCAACGGGTGTGAAGGTGGGTAGCTACTGCAGCAAAATAGTCCATAAATGGAACACCTCTATATGAAACTGGTAGGTCATGTACTGCTGACCGTGCAGCAGTGTGTGCCTGTTCATTGCCCTGTACGTCAACATGACCAGGGACCCAACAAAAAACAATATCTTCATGTTTGGTAGAGATGCAGTGTAGCCAAAGTTTGATACGGAGGACTAAGAGATGAGGTGTATCAAATTTCTGTATAGCCTGTAAAGTACTAAGGGAGTCCGAGACAACCACAAATGATGACCCAGGCATAGATGCAATACGGATAAGTGCTGCAAGAATGGCATACAATTCAGCAGTAAAAATACTAGCCGAAGATAGTAAATGCCCTCGTACGGCGCTGTCCGGAAACACTGCTGCGAATCCTATGCCGTCAGAAGACAGGGCCATCTGTGTACACTGCAATGGCATGAGAATGAGTGTGGAAGTGGTCAAGAAAAAGAGAGCGGGAAGCTACCATAGACAGTTGGGCTTTCGAGCAAGGGAGAGAGAAAGAGCAGACTCGAACAGCTGGAACTTCCCAGGGGGGTAGGGAAAAGCGAGATGCTACATGAACATAGAAAGGTGGTAATTGAAGAGAAGACGAGCGAATGTAGGCAAAGAGAGAAGGGACGGAGCAAATGGGTGGCGAACAAATAACGTCTACTAATATCGGTGACCATTCTATAAATGGAAGGATTGCGGAGATCATGAGAGCATACATAGTAGCGAAGGCAGTGGCCATCACAGCGATCGGATAAGGATGAAACGTTTGCTTCTGCATAGAGGCTCTCGACAGGGGAAGAGCGAAAAGCACCAAGGCATAAACGTAATCCTTGGTGACGAATGGGGTTAAGGCTAGAGAGTAGCAGGAGAGGCCACTGAATAGATCTGGTCACCATAATCAAGTTTCAATAAAATGAGGGTGGAATGTAGGTGATGGAGAGTTCGACGATCAGCTCCCGATGAAAGATGAGCAAGGGTTTCAAGAAGGTTCAGCCGGCTGTGACAAGTTGCCTTCAGAGAGGTAATGCGAGGTTTCCAGGATAACCTATGGTCAAAGAGGAGGCCTAGAAACCTGACTATCACGTTCAGGGATACGGGAGCCATAGAGGTACAAAGGATGATCAGAGATGACAGAGCGTCTAGTGAAAGTAATTTGGCGAGTTTTGGTATTGGAAAATTTAAACCCATGTGTGGTGGTCCAATTGGAAACACGGTCGACAGCATGCTGGAGAGAAACTAATGAGGCGACAGTCAGCGCCTGCACAAGCAATAGCGAAGTCATCAACACAGAGTGATGACCAAATATTGGATGGAAGACTAGAGGCCAAATCATTTATAGCAAGGAGAAAAAGTGTTGTGCTTAGAACACATCCCTGGGGGACACCTTCGGCTTGGATAAAGTCCGGGGAGAGCACATTATTAACCCAAACACGGAAATGTCTGTCAGTTAAAAAGTTCTCAAGGAAGGATGGTAGATTGCCTCGGAGGCCTAAGGAGTGGGCTTGGGCCAAAATATTATACCTCCAAGTTGTGTCATATGCCTTCTCATGGTCAAAAAATGTGGCAATAACCAAGTGGTTATTCGCAAAGGCATTACGAACATAGGTATCCAAGCGTAGTAAGGGGTCTATGGTAGAACAGCCCTTACGAAAGCCATATTGACGAGTGGAGAGACTTGTGTGTGTGTCTAAATACCACACTAAACGTCTATTTACCAGGCGTTTCATCACCGCAAACTGCACTGGTAAGTGCAATGGGACAATAGTGGGAGGTTTCATGTTCTGTAGTGCCCGGTTTGCGGAAAGGGGAGAGCAATGGCAGATTTCCACAGCTGTGGAAGAACTCCTTGTGACCATATAAGATTGAAAAGGCATAATAGGACTGCAAGGGCTGACTGATGTAAATGTTGTAGGATACGAATATGAATGTCATCAAGCCCAGCTGTCGATGATCGGCAAGCTGAGTGTGTTGCCTCCAGTTCCTGAAGTGTAAAAGGCACATTATACTGTTTTCTGAGAGAAGAAAAGTCCAAGGGTGCTAACACTCTGGCAGACTTTGAGGAAAGAAACGAGGGGCATAGATGGAGCCCCCGAGAAATACGGACCAGATGATTGCCAATTTCATTGGCAACATCCAGTGGGTTTGCTATATCAACACCAGCAACCCGCAGAACAGGAGCCGGGTCAGAGAATATTTACCACTCTGTTTTCGTACTTTTTTCCAGACTGCGCTCAGAGGAAGCAGAGGTGTTGGTGGAGACAATCTCACCAGCAAGTGCGTTTAGCATCACAGATGACAAGACGAGCGATCGCATGCTTCTGCTTAAAATCAAGTAGTCTCTCCGTGGTTCTATTGTACCAGTACCTGCCCCATGCAGCGCGTTTCAAACGTACTGCACGAGCACAAGCAGACCACCAAGGCACGCATTTCTGAGAATGCCTGCCCGAAGTTTGGGGTATAGAATGAGAAGCTGCGGTTAAAACGGAGGACGAGAAGAGGTGTAAAAGCTCATCAATGGAGGACGAAGAAGGAACCTCACTCAAAACAGTTAGTTGTGAGTAAAGGTTCCAATTTGCCTGATCAAATTGCCAGCGTGGGTTACGAAGAGGTGATGAATGTGATTGGGAAATGATTGGGAAATGATCGCTGTCATGTAAATCCCGGAGAACAGACCAGGTGAAGTCTAATGCGGCGGAGGAAGAGCAGACTGAAAGATCGATGGAAGAGAGTTTATGAGTACAGGGATCAAAATGGGTGCGAGTACCTGTATTTAGAACATGGAGGGGGCGGGTAGAAAGAAAAGCCTCTAACTGAATGCCACAGGAATCACAGTGAGACCCCCCCCAGAGGCATTAAAATCGCCAAGTAACAGAAGTGGTGGCGGTAATGACGAAACAAGAAAGGCAATATCTGGGATAGATAATGCCCGAGAAGGAGAGAGATACAAAGAACAGTGTATACCACCTATGCAAGTGGATACGGGCTGCTGTGTATGAACAAATAGCTGATGGTACGGAATATCAGTGCGTAGAAGGGCACTTTCATTAAAGGTCCTATCAGGAAAAGGATCTGAAGAATGCAATAAATTATAGCCTGATATGGGATAGATAACAGCATTGTGTAATTTTGGTTCCTGTAAGCAAACACCAACAGGGGAAAACTCGGAGAGCAACATCTGAAGCTCACCCCAATTACCCCCAAGGCCACGTATATTCCACTGTAAATAGGCCATGATTGGCAATGATAAAGATGCCTGAAATCCGCAGGTAAGGGTACCTACGGACTAGAGGGGTTAGAAAAGTCCACATGCGGTGGCAAAGGAAAACGTTCAAGCAGCGAAGGAATGGTGCGCTGTGAAGAAAGGAGTTGCGCAGATGGAGAAGAGGAAAGACAAGGAACAGAGGGTGGATCAGTGTCCATTGATGGTTTGGTCTCTGCAATATATTCAGAGATTGCTTCAAGCGTTTCGGAGTTCAGAGACGTCGTACGAGAGACAATATTGGAGATGGAAGGAGGAGGAGTTTGAGTAAAGATTGGAACTGTAATGGACTGTACCAAGGTGGGGGGAGGGCAAAAGGGTGGAGGGAACTGGAGAAGTGTGGGAGGGGACAGAAGAGGCAGAAAGATGGGAGGTGGCAGAAGAGGAAGAAACTTGGGAGGGGGCAGGGGAGGAAGGCACAGTACGAGGAGGAGGATGAACCTCCACACTTGTAACAGAGCCAGTGAAAGGGTACAGAGACCAGGAAGGTAAAATGTGGAGGTGGATGAAGGGAAGGAAGGGTTAAAGGAGATTTTTTGGACCTCTGAGAAGTAGAGGGACGATTGGGAGGAGGTGTCGTATGAGGTCTTGTCAATACCGGGGTTTGTGAGGGAGAACACGAAGAAGTGAGGACGGCCTGAGGTGTTGAAGTAGGGACTTCTGAGCCCAGGACAGCAAAAGAATTAGATACAGGAGTGACTATGGGACTGGCAACCACAGAGGAGGCTGCAGAAGATGGGACCCCAGAAGTGGGGGGGGGGGGGTTTGAAACATGAGAATAAGAAACACGGGTAGTTTCCCCTTGGAGGCGGAGATGAGAAACTGCGATGGCATAAGGGAGACCTTCTGCCTCTGAAGCAGTGAATTTCCCGCTCATTTAAGCAAGATAAGATTTCGTTCGGATTTTTAACCCCGGAGGGTTAGCCACCCAGGATAACCCAAGAAAGTCAGTGCGTCATCGAGGACTGTAACTTATTTCCATTGGGGTCCTTAATCTTGTCCCCCAGGATGCGACCCACACCAGTCGACTAACACCCAGGTACCTATTTGCTGCTAGGTGAACAGGACAACAGGTGTAAGGAAACATGTCGAAATGTTCCCACCCGCCGGGAATCGAACCCGGGCCCTCCGTGTGTGAAGCGGGAGCTTTAGCCACCAGGCCACGGCGAGAGTACGAAGGGTGAGCCTCACGACAATTAAGGCAAGAGGGAGTTCGACTGCAAGACGTATTAGAATAGTCATCGGCACCACAGACTGGGCATTCGGCTATAGATCTGCAATATTTTGCTGGGTGGCCAAATCACCAGCAATTCCTACACTGTTGTGGTGTAGGGATTACCTTCCGAACTTGTAACCAATGTCCTGCTACATAAACAGAGGATGGGAGTTCATGGCTGTCAAAAGTTAAACGAGCCACATTGCAAGGGTATCGTCTTCGCCCGTGGGCAGGAAGAACATAAGTGTCTACCGTGAGAATTGGGAGATCTTTGAGTTCCAGCTGTTCGAGAATGTCATTGCCACACTTCTGGAAATTCTGTTGGACTATGGTATGGGGCAAAATAACAGTACCACTACAAGAATTGAGGGAAAGATGTTTTTCGATAGTGATAGGAATAGTATCGATATGCAAAAGAGAAAGATCATGAGCTTAGGTAGAATTCTAGACTGATGATGCGTGTACCACTCTTAAGAGCATGAAAGGAAATATCTCTACCAATGTGGTGTAGGAGCGCTTTGCCAATACTGTGGTCGGAAAGATAGGCAGTAGAAGTAGTCTGTCTTAAAGTAAAGAATTTAGTCCATTGTGTGGTCCAAAACCGAGTGTGGAGAGAGTGCGTGAAGTGTCAGTCTTTTCCGAGTAGTGAGAAGGTAACGAAGTAACATCAGGAGATTGTCGTTGGCGTTTAGAAGTGGGACCAGAGTCGGACCGACGTGGGACTGGCTCGCGATTCGAAAATTGCCACACCGTAGAGGGAGAGGCTGGAAGCATAGTCAAAGGAGAGCAGAGGTCAGACAAATCAAAGGAGTCAGTCGAAACCCCGGCACCTGAAGCGGGCGACGAAACAGCACCAGCAAGAGGTGGAAACAAACATATGCAGTTTAATGTGATCCTTTATTGACAACGTTTCGCCCACACAGTGGGCTTTTTCCATACCCAACCCTTCATGCCAGTAAACCAGCAATCCGGGATAGCAACCTCACATCTACCGAGCTACCTCGGTGGACAAAAGAGGGCAGCCGGATATCTGCCACAAAGCATATCTCCTTCGGCCACCACCCCCGGAATCTGAAAGGTGGCTTCCAGAGATACACCTGTCGCCCAAGACACACCCAAAGCCACCCTCTGGGATACCGGAGAGGGATCGGGACATCCCCAGGCAATCCAGATCCCACAGCAAACTATGCCACTGCCAAGAACCTCAACGGAATGGGATGGACCCCGGTACCCTTCCCCCTACCTATGAACTAGTGTGCTTGTGGGAAAAATCCCAAAGGCCAAAAAGAGGAAGGGCAAAAGGGAGGGGTGGGGAGGAGGAGGAGGAGGAAAGGAAAAAGGGGAGAATGGGATAGGGAAGGGGGGATTGGGGGGTAATTAGGTTTGGTCTGAGGAAGGAGACCAACAGGTCTAATTCCCCAGACCAAGAGCCTCTTCACCACGCCAAGGAGCCCCTCCTTGAAGAGGTTTGTGGCCATAATTATCCAGGGTAACCCAAGAAAGTTAGTGCATCATTGAGGGGTCCTTAAATCTTGCCCTCCCAGGATGCAACACACACCAGTCTACTAACATCCAGGAACCTATTTGCTTGCTAGGTGAACAGGACAGCAGTGTAAGGAAACGCACCCAATATTTCCACCCTAGCCGGGGATCGAACCACAGACACTGCAAAACTACACCGTTGCTCACCAGGCCACAGGGCTCTTGATCCAAGGAATTGGAACTACCTTCATGTTCCTATGATTAACTGATTACCTCATTCCTTAAGAATTGTATGACCCTTTTAAGTTTGCTATTTCCCATGAATAGTACATGTCCCATGCATGTTTACTTTTTCCCTTTACCGTAAATATATTTCTTTTCAGATAAGGATATAGGCATGAACGGCCAGCAGTATCTGAAAAATGGAGCAAGTGGTAGGCCACTAATGGATGTGCCAAGTGTACCCAACATTCTGCATGTCTTGCTGTTCAGTTCCCTTCCCCGTAGCGGCTCCACTGTGGTTGCAGAACTCCTTGCCACACATCCTAATTCCGTCCTTTTCTTCGAGCCCCTCTCAAGCCAAAAGAAAAATCCTTGTGCTAGAGACGGGTCATGTGTCGCAAGCTTTTTAACACGCCTCTTTAAGTGTACATTTGATCAAAACTTTGAAAATTGGCTTAAAGGAAAAGGTCTCTTTCTTAAATATTTTAACCCTACCACAAGGCAGTGTATCGAGAGACCATGGGAAGGAGGAAGTGCCTGTAGACATAAGCTACATTTAAATGTTATGTGCAAAAATGCCAGTGTCAGAATAGTTAAAGTGATAAGATCCCGATTGCCATGGCTGGTAAACCTCTTAAACAACACCTCTCTCAATGTAAAGATAATTCATTTGATTCGTGATCCTAGAGGATCATTAAACTCTATGCAGAGACTAAACTGGAACAGCAAGCCCTCCTTGAGGTGTGGTAACCTTGAAGATGACATGCGTGAGTACAACAAATTGCTGAAAAAGTACCCAACTAAAGTAAAGATGATAAATCTAGAGATGTTTTCTGTCGATCCGTACAGCACAACAAGTGATATTCATAAGTTTCTGTATGGCAGTCCAGGTCTTGAAGAAAGAACCTTGCAGTACCTGAAGGAGCACACCAGAGCTCGTAAGACACTGTTCTTTGTTGATAATATGGATACCCACAAGAACAGCAGTAGGGAGTATCAGGCATGGCGGTGGAGGATCACAAGCCAGTTACTGAGGGAAACTGAAGAGGAACTTGCTTGTAGCTATGTTATCAATGAGCTGGGACATGCTATGTTTGGATCACTCCACAATGCCAGAAACTTAACTCTGCCGCTTGACAAAAGGCACAAACAGTATTAATAAGTAGCTCAGTGGCATGTAGTTACCAATACAGTAATGATAATATAAAACACAACCTGAAGGGGTCATACCTAGCTACCAAAAATTAAGAGGCTTCAGGTTTTTATATTAAATGTAAGTTTTTTAAACTTTTTTTTCCTCTCAAACATTTGAAAAAAAATTCACAAAATAATGTAATAGTCATGCTAGTCTAATCCTAGGACTAGATGCCACTGATTAATTAGCATGCACATTTGCACATGTTGAATGCTTGTAATAAAATTGTTTTAAGAGTTTATTTTAAATAAAGTATTGATAAAAATAAAATACTAATTGTTAAGATTATTTTCCTTTTAACAAGTTACCCCTCAAGGAAGGTTCCTTGATGTTGGCGAGGGGCTCTTGATTTAGGGAATTTTATCTGTGCTCCAGTTCCCCGAATTAAGCCTGAATGCCTTCCACATTCCCCCCCCCCCCCCAGGCGCTGTATAATCCTCCGGGTTTAGCGCTTCCCCCTTGATTATAATAATTTAACAAGTTACAATTGTAAGGTGGGGAAATATTGTATGTTTGGGTTAACCTTAACCCCTTGCACAGTCCCACCTTCACACACCTCTACCCACAACATTGACCAATAAGACTAGCACATAAAATTAATACTTAGTACTTGCCCAAGCATGTCAAGCAGCCATGCAGAGCTTAGAATAATATTTCCTCACTTTAAAATTAAGATTTTCACGAGTTTAATTTAAAGAATTAGTAAAGCCAAAAGGGTTAAACATGAGGAGCCCAAAGCCTTTTCATGATTAGTGATTATGTTCCGTCATTGGGAACTGCTTCCACCCTTGCCAGTCTTTAATCAATGCAAGCACACCCTAACCCTGAAGCACTGTATGACCCTTGTAGGTTTAGCACTTTTGATCGTAAGTGCTGAACATGCAGGTCATAAAATGCCAGGGAATCGAGATTCAGGCGTCATCCGAGTAATGGATCAAGAGCCCCTTCACCAGCATCAAGACACTTTACAATAGTTGTGATGAATGGTTTGAAAAACCGACAAGTTGAAGATTGAGACACTTATGCAGCATATGGGAATCTTTATTCAGGAAACGTTTCGCCACACAGTGGCTTCATCAGTCCAATACAAAGAGGAAGGCGTAAGGAGAGGAGGAGTATGAGGTAATCAGTCCCTCAACCTGGAGTCGATGTGTTCAGTCCATCAATCTTGTAGAATGTACAGCATAGGGCCGTAGACGTGGCTTATATACTGTAGTGAGGCGAGGTGAAGCAGGCGGAGGCGGGGTCATAGTGGTACCATTCACTAGTCGAAGTAGGTCTTCGTCCAAAGGTTGAACAAGTGTTGAAGAATTCTTTGTAACAAGATCCCATGATGCTGCAGTGTCTGACAGTTGTGATGAATGGTTTGAAAAACCGACAATTTGAAGATTGAGACACTTATGATTACCTCATACTCCTCCTCTCCTTACGCCTTCCTCTTTGTATTGGACTGATGAAGCCACTGTGTGGCGAAACGTTTCCTGAATAAAGATTCCCATATGTTGCATAAGTGTCTCAATCACTTTACAATACTTTAATCACTAAAAAAGTTAGTTAACTATATACCATGGTACTGCAGTTGAAGCAGCATAAAGAGTGAACATACTGTAGTCATTGAGTACAGTGCTAAACTGATAAGCCTTAGTGCTAATTACCTTCATGGGGAGGGGAATGCTTATTCCAGGACTTTCAGCACCTGCAGGATGTGGTGGTCATGCAAGATCCAAGGGGAGCACAAGTCCAATTCCTTATTATAATCAGAGTGCTAAACCTACTAGGGTCATACAGCATCCAATTCCTTGGATCAAGATCCTTTTACTGGCATCAAGGAATCTGAGCAATCACCCAAGGGTCTTTGATGCTGGTGGGGGGCTCAATCCAAAGAATTTGATCTGTGCTCCTTTTGGAGCAAACCTGAATGACTCCCATTCCTCAGGAGCTGTGACCATTACAAGTTTAGTATTTCCAGAAAGATGAGAAAGCTAGTTTCTCAGATCAAGACCTTTACCAGCGTCAAGGTACACGAGGTGTCGCCAAAGTGCCAGAAATATCTCTCGATGCTCGTGGAGGGGGGGGGGGAAGCAGATAAAAGCAGGCACGAGTAGTTTCACTGTCAACAATTGAAGGAATCTGACCAGCAACATGGCTGCGGGTTGCAAACAATGTTTTTCCAAGAGATCAGAATGCTTCCGTCACACATGCATCGAGACGATGAAAAGGGCAAATAGGTAGATACATCAGCCCGCTAGAAACCACTTTAGAAAATCAGATTCAACCAATGTTCACTTCAACACCTTTAGAGTAATTACACTCACTGAATTTGAGTTCTGACAACACAAGATGCACTAATAGTCCTAAATTACCCACATATACCAAGGCATTAAAAATACTAGCTATCAAGGATGTTTTAAAGCGTTCGACCCTGGCACCTGTAATATCCAAAAACTGACTTACCAGATAACCGAACCAATAGAATCAAATTCCTGAACAATGGTTACTATACTCTTCACATGGAGGTCCTGAGGCTCTGTCCGTGCCCCTGCTCTATCCTGCACATGACGTCCTAGAACCCCAGTTCAAGGACAGTCATCTTAAGCTGATATCAGAGGTCTTCACAAAACTGACTGAAGCCAAACTGTGCAGAGAAATGCAAATCCAAAACTATCTACTATAATTACAAGAACTACCCACCACCAACCTTTGAGCTGCAAATCGTCACACGGTAGTAGGCAGAGGTCACTGGTACATAAAATTTACATTTAACCCAAGATAACCTAATAAAGTCAAACTCGGACTTATGGTCAGGAGACATTCTCCAGCTATTCATGGAACAACTTTAAGATTTAGCTTCCTGTAAGAAAAAGCAGCACAACCTTAAAGCTGACAGGAGCTTTTTTCCAACTATTACCCAGAACTCAACAATTTGAAGTTGGGTTAACACTAGGTAAGAAATTTAGGAAAGTTTCACTAAACACCCCCGTCCCCACCCCCACCAAAAAAATATTTCATAAATCAGCCACTGAAGATTGAGGCCATTCAGCAGATTCATACTTCAGATGGAAAAAGAGTTTTATTATTTCTAAATTAAATCAGGCAAAAAGGCACCTACACTCCAATGACAAAACCAACATTCAGCCAAGTAGGATACATCAGCTTTTAACTGAAGTCTACCAAAATCGGGAATAACCCATTTAAAATTGAGACGGCACCTGCACATACCAACTGTTCCATGAACCTTTCCCCCTGGTTATAGTTCAGCAGGGTTAAAAATTTGAAGGAAATTAGGTGCTTTTTAACAATAGCTCTGAGGGTACCTCCAGTGCTATTGACGAGCTCAAGAAACCCGTCACTATGAAGGGATAACTAAATAATTTAAGAATTCATAAATTATATTATTATTATTATTATTACAATCAAAAAGAAGCGCTAAGCCACAAGGGCTATACAGCGCTGCAGGGTAGGGAAGGAAGCAAGGGAATTAGATGGCAGAAGGGAGGGGGGATGATCAGCAGGTTACAGAAAACAGCGGGGCAGGGGATAGTACGGGGGTAGAGGGTAGCAAGAGATTCAAGTAGAAAGGGCTGAAAGTATCAGAATTTGTGAAGTAAGTCAGTCGTTGTCAAAAAGTCAATGAGAGAGTCCGGATGAAAGGTGGGTCCATCAGCGAGAAGGGAAGGTAAAGAGAGAGCAGCGGAGCGAAGACGACGACAGAGGTAAATTCTGCGTGCTCGTTGATAAAGTGGGCAGTCCAACAGAATGTGGCTGACTGATAATGGAGCTTGGCAATTCTCACAGAGAGGAGCAAGACGCCTCTCCATGAGATATCCATGAGTAAGACGAGTATGGCCAATGCGAAGACGGGAGAGAGTAGTCTCCCAACCTCGACACTGGTGATAAGAAGACGGCCAGTAACCTATACTCGGTTTAATAGACTGAAGTTTGTTGCCGAGCATAGTAGACCAACGTTGTTGCCAACGGGTGTGAAGGTGGGAAGATATTACAGCAAAATAGTCCGTACATGGAATACCTCTATAAGAAACTGGTAGGTCATGTACTGCTGACCGCAAGCAGTGTCTGCCTGTTCATTGCCCTGTACGTCAACATGACCAGGGACCCAACAAAAAACAATATCTTTATGCTTAGTAAAGATGCGGCGTAGCCAAAGTTGGATACGGAGGACTAAGGGGTGAGGTTTGTATCAAATTTTTGTATAGCCTGTAAAAGCACTAAGGGAGTCTGAGACAACCACAAATGATGACACAGGCATAGATGCAATACGGATAAGTGCTGTAAGGATGGCATATAATTCAGCAGTAAAAATACTAGCTGAAGATAGTAAATGCCCTTGTACGACGCTGTCCGGAAACACTGCTGCGAATCCTACGCCGTCAGAAGACTTAGAGCCATCTGTGTACACGCAATGGCATGAGAATGAGAGTGAAAGTGGTCAAGAAAAAGAGAGCGGGAAGCGACCGTAGACAGTTTGGGCTTTCGAGGCAAGGAGGGAGAAAGACAGACTCGAACAGCTGGAACTTCCCAGGGGGGTAGGGAAAAGTGAAATGCACATGTACATAGAAAGGTGGTAGTTGAAGAGAAGACAAGAGCGAATGAAGGCGAAGAGAGAAGGGACGGAGTAAGCAGGGGCGGCGAACAAATAAAGAATGTCTACTAATATCAGTGACCATTCTAAAAAGGGAAGGATTGCGGAGATCATGAGAGCGTACATAGTAGCGCAGGCAATGGCATCACGGCGATCGGATAAGGATGGAACGTTCGCTTCTGCATAGAGGCTTTCGACAGGGGAAGAGCGAAAAGCACCAAGGCATAAACGTAATCCTTGGTGATGAATGGGGTTAAGGCTAGAGAGAGTAGCAGGAGATGCCGCTGAATAGATCTGGTCACCATAATCAAGTTTCGATAAAATAAGGGTGGAATGTAGGTGAAGGAGGGTTCGACGATCAGCTCCCCACGAAAGATGAGCAAGGGTTTTAAGAAGGTTCAGCCGGCTGTGACAAGTTGCCTTCAGAGAGGTAATGTGAGGTTTCCAGGATAACCTACGATCAAAGAGGAGGCCCAGAAACTTGACTGTATCACGTTCAGGGATACGTGAGCCATAGAGGTACAAAGGATGATCGGAGATGACAGAGCGTCTAGTGAAAGTGATTTGGTGGGTTTTAGTGCTGGAAAATTTAAACCCATGTGTGGTGGCCCAATTGGAAACACGGTCGACTGCATGCTGGAGAGAAACTGTAAGGAGGTGACAGTCAGCGCC